GAAGAAATTGCAGAAGGCACGAGAGAGGAGGAAGCGACTGAAAGAGCAGCGGGCAAAGGCGGAGGCCGGATCAGACGAAGAACCGGCACACGCGCCTGCACCTGTACAGCCGGCAACATCGAACGGTAAGACGACAGCAGTAGTACCACCAGAGGGGCGATCGGTGTCTCAGCAACCTTCGAATTCTCGACGCGCCAAGCGAACGCAACAGCGACACCAGGCTCAGACCTCAGAGACGAATGGTGTGAACTCAGCCAAATCGGTGCCGGTCAACAACCCATCTCCTGAGTCTACCTTTGACAAGAGCACAAGCAACGCCAGCACATCGATCACCGCATACTCCCAGGCATATCAGCAAGCCGTTGCGAATGCACCAGTAGACCGGACTGAGACGGACTGGTTCAGGTTGCGCGCTATGGGCATCGATCCGAGCAAGCACCGGAAGCGCAGCTTCGACTTTGGTTCATCCGACGAAGAGAAGCCCAAGCTCATCGAGCCCAAGCGACCCAAGTTGTCACCAGCGTCGCCTGCGCCGGAGCAACATGAGCAGTCAGCACCGAGAACTATGCTCGAGGAACAGCGCGCTCGCGCTGATGCCATCAAGGAGTCCTTTAGGCAGTCAACATCCACGACATCACCGTCTCACTCCTTCAACGGCGCAATGTCGTTTAGCGGACGGTCTTCATTCAACGATTCCACGAACGATCTGATTGCAAGGGCGCGACGGACGCTGGCAGATTCAAGAGCTGAGATGCCGCCTCCTTCTTTCACCCCAGGCAAGTCGTATCGATCAGGATCATTTGATGCAAATGCCAGCCAGCTCATCGCACGGGCTAGGGGTCTTGCATCTCCCGCGGCCACTTCATCAAATGTCCAACACGACTGGAGTCGCAGCGTGCCCAACCTCGGACTCTCGGCATCTCAGAGCCGACAGTCCACATACGGTACATCCACGTACGGCAGCAGCCTCCGCACTAGCACATCCACCAAGAACCGTCCAGCATACTGGGAACGCACAAGCCGCTTCGTACCACGCCATCTTTACGGCCAAGGCGCAGAAGCTGTTCGCGCCTACAGAATCGAAAATGGTCTCAGCAAATCACCTGCCAGCACCCGACCCGCCAGCACAGAGCCACTGGATATCTCCTCACCGATACCCACACAACTTTCCTTCGTCCAGCAGACTTCATCCCAGCCGATGAGCTACAAGCAAGACCAGTTCACTAGCGATTTTGCATCAATCAACGGCGCACACGTCATCGATGTCGATGCTCAGGACGAGCACGCCATCATGACCGACAACGAAGAGGACGTCCAGTCTTACAACCACTTCGGCACTACATCGTCTTATCCCGAAGCTCAGTTTACTCCTTCCCAGGCTGCACCCTACCAGCAACATCAGCAGCAGCAGCAACAGGAAGAGTACTACGACCGAGACGCAGAAGACCAAGACGCAGACTCTGAGATGCAGGACGGCGACGACGAGGAACTGCTCGATTACGACCAGGACTCTGATCTCGATGAGGAAGACGAGATCGAAGAAGATGAGGATGCGGAGTCCTTCGACGAGGAAGACGAGGACGAAGACGAAGATGAAGAAGACGGTAGTGAGGACGGTAGTGATGAAGGCGGCGGTGGTGCAGCTGATCCCGGTGCGAACGGCAAACCAGGTGCGACGGAAGACGATGCTATCGAATTGTCGGATTAGTCGTCTGGTTCTTCCGTATCCGCACCTTGGCCTTGCCTTCACTATTGAACCGACGCGTCACACGAGTACTGCGATCACGGAGGTCGCAGTTGGGGATTGAGTTTGGAGGAGGAGGAGAAAGAAGGTGTATCATATAAGGATTTTGTATGCATAGCGAGGGCGTTTCTTGGGTTCTTTCCTTCAAACAAGCATGGCATGGTGTGGATTAGCATGGACATGGACTGGGTATGGAGTCATGATACCCAATGGGCGCATGGTTGGCAGACAAGCAGCGTATGGTGAGGGACAATGCGCAAAAGATGTGTTATGATGTGCTTAATTATTTTGTGTATTGTGTGGGCATGAGTGATGTCTATGATGTTGTGATGTCGGTAGTGATGTTTGCGAGCTGCGATGTGATGCGATAGGTTGTGGTGAAACGCTCATCGCGGTATCACTGGATAACCTGAAGCGGGATTTAGCTGAGCAGTCCTCTGGACCTGGGACTGGGGTGCTGTGTCCGTCGTATGTAGTGTATGATAGTGTGATGATGTGATGGGTTGTGGTGATGCTAGTTTTGATGGATGTGTTGTGTTTGACATTTGCATGACTGTAGTACATTCACGTTATTCTTGTTTAATGTTTTTTATTGTAATGGCGACAAGACTGGTTCAAGAGTTTTCGTTGCGTCTGAGTGGTGGAAGTTGCGAAAATCACGAAAGTCGTGCGAGATGAGTAGGTTGTTAAGAGTGGGTAAGTTTGCGAAAGGACTTCAAACCGTGGAAAGCATGTGTGAAGCTCGTAGTCTGCTGTTCGCTGCAATACCATGTAGCGGCAGCGACGATAGGCTTCTAGGAGGTAGTGACGATTTACTGAGTGATCAAACAGCGAAGCACGTGGAGAGGAGGCAGTGCTGAAGAGACTATGCGTTCGACACGAGATACTACTTCAGCTCGCAGGTTTCACACGAGGGAAGTACTTATATGGATCGCGTTGCTCCTATTCTGCGCTACATTTTATGCACCTGTACGTCTCTTTCCAATCATTGCCGGTGAGTTGGGATCGTATCTGTCTTGATTGCAAGGTCGCATTGCCTAGTCATCTAGACTGAGATGTTACTCAGTCCAAGCAGAATCTGCCCAACTCATTAGTACCGTGTCAATGTGGTGGGAGTCCTGTCGCTAACCTTTTGGATATAGCGCACCCCGATAGTTATGCCGTCTTCATCTTGGAACTGGGTTTTGTCGCCAAATTCGGGATCGTCTTCGTCCAAACATGTCAGACAGGTCACGACGATGTCTGTATACTTGTCGCCCATGCAGCTGGGTAGTTCGCGCTGCGCAATCCCAACAAGCGTTTCCTTGAGCGAAGCAGCTTTGGTCATTTCCTTCTTCTCGGTATAGCCCGGCGGCGGCAAGAGTTGCGACGGACTTGCTTCTTTCGTGCTGCTATATGTGACGAGCGTGCGCCACATGCCTATCTCCAGTAGGCACACACCGAGGCTGTAGATGTCATGCTGCATCGTGTATTCGCTTTCTGGTCTTAGTCCTTGTCGCTCCGGGTGGCGGTACAGGTCCTTCTCCCAGGCGGCGTCGCCGGCCATCACAGTTCTTCCGTCCGCAGCGCGGAATTTCTCGAAACCAACCAAGAATGAGTGCGTATACTCGGACTTCTCAGCATCGAAGACTGGGATTGTTTCGGGTCTGATGCCTTTGTGCACGAATTTGTAAGTGTGGACAAAGGTAACAGATCGTGCGAGCTGGAGCGCGAGGCGAAAGCGCGTACTAAGACTGACGTTGGGTTTTGCTTCGATTAATATGTTGCGGAGACTCTGTGGTGATCGCACCGAGGACGGGATATAGAACACGAAATCGTAAGCCGTGGTGGTTTTGCTATTACTGCATACCTTGGCGACACCAAAGCATCTGAGCAGGCCAAATGAAAGCGCGTCTGCTCCGTTGAGCTTGCGAGCGAGATCGCGTACGTCTGCGACTTGAATGTCGGGCTTGATGCCTTGTTGACTTGGGACGGAGTCTAAAACGAAGGTTTGGCTTTTGTCTGGCGTTTGACCTAAGGATGCTGTTGAGTATGAGATTTGCGTGCGCACAAAGCCCGAAGTCGCGTTGTCTGGTAGAAACACCTTCTTCTTCTCTCCGGTGCCTGATTCCGGTTTGAGTGACTCGCGAACCCCTATCGCAGAAAAAATGACATTGCGATCAACTGGTGGCAGCTCAGAATCGCCCTCGAAGAAGTCCTGCAAATTGTTGTCTATCAGCCGGTTAGACATCATCAGGGCCAGATACCAGGATGGATCAAAAGCCTGTTGCCACTTTTGCAGTTCGCTTATGGCGGCATCGAGGCTCTTTTTGACGAAAGGATACTTCCAATTATGATATTTCGTCTCCTTCGTCGTAGCGCCGGCCGTTTTGGTGGTGGTGGCGGTGTCTCGCTTCTTCTCAAGGTTTTGCACTTCGCCCACCGCAGCCTCCAACTTGATCTGCAGCACCCTGAGCGTCTGATCTTGCATGATCTTGAACTCTTCACCCTGTATAGTCTTGATCCTTTCAAGATATCGGAGTTGGGTTTGTATTCGAAACCAGCTGTTCTTCATCAATAGCACTCGCTCCTTGATCTCGTCCGGGGCATTTCGGTAGCTAGTGTACAGGTCGACAAGGCGTTCGCCATATCTGAGACAAGTTTTAGTAGGAGGTTGCATTGGAAGTGAGTCACTCACTTTATTGCCAGGTCAACAGTTGCGACGACTGCCAGGGCCACTTCAACCGACATTGCGAAGTCTTACGAGGCTGTCCTGAGACGACTTGAGAGTCGCGATCAACAAAGAACAGTTATAGAAAGAAGCGAGTAACAGCAGATGCACTGCAGGGTACGGGGCAAAGTGAATGCCTAGATTGGAGGGGTATTGTCAAGGATCAGACGGAACGGGTAGCGATAATCGTCAGTGGCTGAGAGTGAGGGGCCGAAAAAGCTGCAAATAGACGCAGAACAGGCTGTGTATGACGGCGCAAGGCTAGTTAATATACATACGAGAAGAGATACAGGGTCGATCTCTACCACCTATGCGCAATTGGGGGGCGAATAGGCAGTGCCTGCCGTGCCACCTGGGTACATCGGCGGGGTAGGCTGGGGTTGGATCATGACGCTGCTGCTGCTTCCGAGATACATCACACCCCTCTCACCTCTCGCACGCAGCATTACTCCAGCGCTGCTCGTATACCGGTTTTGTCGTGTGTTGTGTGTTGTGTCTAGTTCTTCCAAGGCCTTCGCTACTTCCCCTTTGACTGCCCCACTTTCCATGGACATCGGAGTTATGGAGATAGTGCCGGAGTTAGTGGCCGATTCCAAACTGGACACAATCTTCAAGAAAGGTTTCACGATCCATCATGTTCGGACGCCGGACACGACTCCTCTTCTCGGGAAGAATAACAAGAAGGAGAAGTGGGAGCAGACCGAACAACTCGGCCAGGGATCGTTCGGTACCGTTTGGCTGCAGAAGCTGGTAGGGGCCGGCGGCGACAGTGACTCAAAGAGACGAGCCGTCAAGATCATCAAGAAGGGGCCTAAAGTCGACTACAAGCCTGAACTGCATGCGATAGCGAAGTTCTCTCAGGAGAAGGTGAGTATTCTTTCGTTCGGTCTCAAGCCATGACCCATCGGGTTAGGCAGGGCTGACGCACCCATGAATATAGTTCAGTTCATCGTTCGTCAAGTCGCTTGGATGGTACGATGATGACGAAAATGTATACATCCCGATGGAATATTTTCCTCATGGCGATCTAGGCCGCTATCTTGACAAGTTCGGCCCGCTACCAGAGCACGAAGCCCAATGCATCGCCCATCAAATACTCGTCGGACTCAAAAGTATGCACGACAATGAGTTCGCTCATCGTGATCTGAAGCCACAAAATGTGCTAATCAAAGAGTGCGGCCCTAACTGGTGGGTCAAGCTCGGCGATTTTGGAGTCAGCAAACGTATGCAAGACGCCGCGTCGCTTAAAACATATACTGGCACGGAAGGCTACATGGCACCCGAAATTCTGATAAGAAAAGGTTGGGTCAGCTGTGAGGATCTCCTTGGACGCAAATCATACACCAATGCCGTGGATATATGGGCTTTGGGCGCACTAGTTTTCCAGACTCTCACTGGCAGCGAGCCTTTTGAAAAGGATTTGGGATCGTACGTTGAGGGCAAAACGCCTTTTCCTTATCACATGTTGCAAGCGCAAAGTATTTCACGGAAAGGATGCGATTTACTTGAGAGACTGTTGCAAGTCATTCCTGAGAATCGTCCCAAAGCAGACGAAGCTCTTGAAGATCCCTGGCTCAAAGCACAAAAGGCTAGAGAGTCGATCGAATCATTGAGGTAAGAGAACAGCTATCATCCCCTTCCAGAAGATCAACATGCTCACATCACATAGGCCGGCCTCTATACTGTCTGAGAAAGACCAGAACAGGACCAGTTATCTCTTCAACGGAGCACAGCAGACATTATCTAATGCCGCGACTACGGCATCTCTGGCCTGGGGTGATGCGGAGCGTTCTACTATAATGATAAAAGCCTTCGACTCTGTCAAAACCTCGGCCAAAGAAAGGCTTTCCACATTCTCACGGCGCAATGTCGAGGCTACAGATCTAGACTCACACCGAAATGCTCTTGGTCTTACGACACTAGTAGAACGACCGTCACCACTTGCCAACGACTCATCTACTTTCGACCTACCGACTGACCGCACGGTACAGAAGGCGTCTTCACAGTCGCAGGAATCACTCGGTGGGTCGACATTGAACCAGATCAATAGCTCAACACTCGCAGCAACAGTGGAAAGTGTGAAGAGTCACAGAAGTTCGGAAGAAGAGCGCCGATCCGGCAGCACTACACCACCATATGCGACGAGATCAGCAACACTACGCTCTGATCTAGGCAGTACAGACTCTCTACAAGAGACTGAAGAGTATTTTGACAGGCCGATAACAGCCGATGACTTTACCCTTTCACCTGGTACAACCCTATCAGAGGCATCACCGTCACAGTCAATATCGGACACGTCCCCAAGGGCGCCTAGCGGCCATTGGACGAGGGCGATGCCATTCTCTCAGATGTCCCTAGACAGTGCCAGTGCCAGCCCCATGAGTCCGGCGTGGTCAAAAGATTCTTCCATCGTTCGTGAGAAAGGCTGCACGCTCAGGCCTCTCGAACTACCAAGCGACCTTATGCATACGCTGGAGCCCGATGCATAGTAAGTAAACCATCTGATGAGAGTAACTTTGCGTTGACATTAGTATAGTGTCGTTATTGTACCAGGCTTGGGTGATCCTCCCGCCGACATCTGGAGTAGAGACGGCTTCCACGATGAGCCACTTGTGCGCGACCTCACCAAGCACTACATGAACATCCAAGTCCTTGAACTCGGTCACGGCTTACCAGTCAATGGAAAAGACTTCAATCGCTGGAACCAAGTAAGGGACAGTTCACACACGATGATGCAGCAGCTCCATGAATATCGCGAGCAGACTAACGTAAGTAGCCATAGTACCCAAGTCAGCTACATATCTGAAAAAAAGATGTAGACAATGTCCCTACCCATGGTTTTTCTAGGCCACGGTATTGGAGGTATCTTCATAAAAGATGTGAGTCCATTGAGCCACAGATCGAGAAGGATCGAAGCTGACGAAGACCAGTTCTTCTGGAAGTCTAGTAGCCTTGAGCTCCGAAGCTTCCCGGCCCAGTGGCATAAGGATCTCGTCAACAACACAGTCGGAATCGTCTTTCTTGGAACACCCCATCCTACAGACGAAAACAAGGCAGATCATGAGAATATGCTGGGTATCATTACAAGACCGCCTACATCCAGAAGGTCAAAAACCATCGACAGGAAGCTCATGGACCTGGAACTCCAAACCAGATATGTTTGCTCACTCTGCAACGAATTCGAGAAGTACATCCGCGAGTCCCTTCCGAACTTGCCCATCTTGTCAATCTGGGATGGTCGAGAGAGCAAGGCAATGCGCGTGGAAGAGACGAAGTTGCTTGGGCGTAGATGGAGACCAGAGAAATACGTGGTATGTCATGGACAGATTACATTTGCTACTACGAAATACTGCTCTTCGCCATACACGATTCTAACACATGCTATAGATTGTTACCTACGAATTAGCCAAAATTGGCTTGCCAAACGAAAAGATGATGGTGGCTGATTGCGATCACTATGAGTTGTGCACACATTACAATCCTGAGTTTCGACAAAAGATCATCGGCTTCTGTCATGAGAAGCTCCTGGAAGCACATGGCAGAATGCTAGGGAGGCCCGAAAGCTCATCCATCGCTTCAAGCACCGTCTTGGGCGAAGGCTCGAATGTGCCTTCGCCATGGTAGTACCCACGTTCATGGTACTGGGTGGCAATGTGTATTTTTAACAACACTCGTTACTTGCCGTTTATCCACTATCACTACACCTACATTACGTCTCTTGCGGCTACACGTACCCAACCTCGCTCTGCACTGTGAAAGGGATGAGAAAAGGGGCGATTGCCTCCCACGTGCACTGATCAGGCTCACATTGATCTTATGTCAGACTTTGGGCGAACACGGCAGTTAGCATGCCAACGGAGGAGAGCGGTTCGAAAAAAAATGAGGCTCCAGAGGAACGGAACTCCCAAAGGGACTACGCTATCGCGGGCAAATGGATGCCACATTGCGAAGGCAGCTTCCTGGGAGACGTTGCAGCGCGCGTCCAGCGCCTGCAAGAGCGAACGCGCATTCCCTTGCGGGGTTCGTCAGCCATTCAGTGCAGCTGGAGCCGCTCAACCCAGCAAGAACGACGCGGCTCAAGCACTGCTCCATGCACCCGCATTCAGCATCACTATTGATTGCCTCATCCCCTGTATTGGCTGACTGACCACAACGTCCCGATTGCGTGCGTTGTGCGAACTCCAACAGCGCCATTACCCCAAAAAGTAACACCGCAGAGATCGCGACCAGAGACAATCTTGCAAAACCCCAGTCACAGATCCCCCGAGATAAGCCAAAAAACCGTGGACGGCGCGAAGCCTCCCCATGTCAATCCAACGGCTTCTTCGGTCCTTCTCTCGGCGCGATCAGCAACCGTTTATCTGCTGATCATGAACGAAACGAGTGCTACACAGTCAGCCCTAAACAACCAGTGCGGGTGCCACCCCTCACGACTGCAACCGGTTTTGTGACTCTTCTCAACAAGTTCCAACGTGCTGGCCCTGTTGGGCGTTGTTGGGCATGATATGTAAGGATGCTCGTTGTTTGCTCGACCACATTGGGGCATCCACAAGCTTGGAATGGGAGATGAGGATGTCCCGGCATTACTCCAAGAGGCAATGGGGTATCTGATGGTATGTCGCACTGGTGCCCAATCATTTCTGCAAGCGTTTCGTTGGGGAAGACGCATGCGCAGGGTATCGATATCCAGCTCTCTCATCTAGGTGCCCAGATCGCTCCTGCACATCTTGCAGCATCGGAGTTGTTTCAAAGAGCAGACCAACGGCGCCGCTAAATGTTGCGTAGTGATCATCATGGCATCATTAAAGACTTTAATTACCTGCAGGATTGCGAGCTGTGCAGCATGGTGGGTGGTAAGGTTGACACGTAACTTGCGGATGTCCTGTCCAGACAAACGGTCCGCACCGAAGTGTTCGATCATGCAATGCCTGCAGTGGTCAAACTTTCGGCTTCGATCAAACCTACCGGACCAGACCCCTTGCAGCGATCGAGAGGACAGAATAGAGCTTCGTGGAGATAAGATTGCTAGCAGCTTCCTGATTGGTGTGTATATGCGAGAGGGTATTGCCGTGCAGCTCGCGGATGTTTCCCCATATCGACACATCGTGAGCGGTGCAGCTTGGTGTTGCATAATACGATGTAGCGTGCCTAGATTCTAGGGCTGTCATCGAGATTCGTGGTGGCGTTGTAGCTTAGTACCGCACGACAGTCGTCCGAATCGGATGTTCTTCGTCTTCCGCCAAGCCGAAAATGATCGGTAGCAGACTACCATCATCATCGGCCAACTGCTCCGCTGGAAGTGTGTGGACGTCATTGCTGAATGAGTCAGTTTCGCTCTGTCCGACCCAGCTCCCCGCAATTTCCACCTTCATCCCACGTGGCAAAGATGTCTGAAACAACCAAGTTTCCTAGTTAGTCCAAACCAACATGAAGAAATACACGGATGAACGTGGTGAGACCGTGATGAGCATCCAGGGCGGAAAGACCCGCTAAGGCTGTCTCTTGATCCGCGCGCACAACGTCAACCGCATAAGGGCCTTGGAGTAGAGGTAGTCGGGAAGACCTCGCGGATCCGTGTCTAGACGCCCTGAAGGATTTTTGAATACGGAGTGGCCCGCCTGGTGAAACAGCGTGTCCCTTGCGTTTGCGGTGCGGGCGTGAGCGAACGTCTGTGACGAGCTCACTTTTTTGGAGGGGCTGTGGACTGGTGGCTGAACAAACTTCGTCAGAAGGTCATGTTCCTGGGCTACCTAGTCTAGGCCGACATCTTCAACGGCGGAGCAGTAGTGAAGCAACGGTCATAGTACAGTAGTGAAAAGCTGACAGCTCAAGTGCGTGATCTTGCCGCGCTTGTACGTACGAATGCGGACTTGATGTCTGTCTCGAGAATTCGCCGGGTTTGGCAGATGTCTCCGATCTTGTTGAGTGGATTCGTCTATCCTGCTACACGAAGGTCTGCGCCAGGAAGGTTTCTAACGCACGTCATTCCGCAATGTATTGCACTTGCAGCACACGAGTCTGGTTCGACGTTAGAGACAGTGGAGCATGCAATTCAATGCGGCTACCAACTGGCAGTGGGCTGAAACAGTGCTGGTGCAAAGTCGTACCATACTGCAGGAAATTTCGTCGATAATCGAGAGTCCATTGTGCGAATAGGATTAATTCAACATTCGGATTATAGCCCCGCCGGAGCTCATTCGTTCAAAAACCACGAGGCTGAACATCAGGGCGACAAAGTTAAGGATACAGCCGGTTAGTGAAACTGTTGAACACGAGAACGTAGCACATGGCTAGTCGCCTCCAGTAGGTCCAGAAGGTATGAGGTAACTAGACAGTGACGTTGCAGGCGCCGCTGAGAGAAAGTCCAGCCCTCAGGCATGGTTGAGTCATTGACAGGGTGAGGGTGCTTTCTCAGTTGAGGTTACAGTATGACCTCCCGGGCAACTTTGGCAAGCCCATATCTTGGCCCAACTTGACAGCACAATCGAAAACTGACGGTGTGTGGTGGCGTTGTTCTACGGCAATGTTAGACGATCTATTGATGTGCTAGCAGCTAGCTGGCCAATCGCAATACGCCATGGCGGATGAAAGCCGTGATGTTTAAGGGTACCGACGGCGTGCTTGAAGCCACACGATAAAGAAACAGCGCCGCCGTTTGTGACGCATGATGGGTGAAGTGATGTTCCTGGATGTTGTGCCGAGGTGCAAGCGACGAGACAGGTAACGTCGTATGAAGCCAACAGCGGGAGTTACGGGAATGTCAGGTGCCACGAAACTGTGCAACAGACGATGTCCTTAGTTACAAGTCCGGCGAGTCGATAGTCGTGGGTGCCGTCGCTCGAGCATCTGCCTACAGCGCCCCGGCAGGGTCATGGATGAAACATCGATTAATGCTCCGGATGCTACTGCAACGGGGCGAATAAATCCTGCGCTGGAGTTAATCTCAGGAGAATAAAACTGCAGGTTGGGTGTGCAACCAAGTTCACGTGGCGCCCGCACTTACATTTTGGACTACAGCTGCGCGGGCCGGACCCCTCCACGACGCTTGACAAATGAGGACTCGACATTGGCCGAGGTAGCCCCGAAACAAGCTTTCCCTCTGGTCCCTGGGGAGGAGTTCGCCGCACACGATGTTCGCACTCGTTGCGCTCCGCGGAAGATAGCCGCTTAGCGCATTGCTAGCAGGAAATATCCGTACGATCCGGATCTCCAGGATCGTCCAGGGACCTCATCTTCCGGTGTAGATCATCCCCGTCATGTGCACCCATTTGCGCACCTGTACAGTGTGGAAGTAGGTCTAATGGAGCTTGCCGACCTGCGAAAATGCCCAACACGAGGAGTAAATGGATGCTGAGGGTGGATCTCGCCGCGGATAGCGCCAAGGTACACTATCAGTCAATAGAACATGTCGGGGGTGATCCTAGGTAGACTGCACGCCGGGAGGGCTTGATCGTCATGGAGTCTCTCCCAGGTCGAAGGCATGCCGGCTTTCTCTCAACGTTGACGAAACAGGATCTGGACTTTGAGCATGCTGACTCAAGTTGGCGTTCGCGACAAGGAGACGTTGAGTCGCTTCTTCCTTTCCAACCGCGACGCCGTTCGGTTCCGGAACGGGCGATGAAAACCGAGGTTGATATCGACACGTGATACAGGCTACATGGAAGGATTATCGTGACGCCGCTGTGCATTTGCGCGTCGGTGTGATGGTCGAGCAGATGCTGCAGAATGTTACATAGCACCATCGCAGTCATCGTGTCCACTCCAAAAGTAGGATCGATGCGGTATTTGCGACTGAGCCGTGATCGTACCGTACGCAACAAGACCCTGCTGTGTGTTTAGCGCGTCGCGGTTGATGTGCAAAGACATCACATCATCCAACTTGTGCTGATCGTAGCCGACTTTCGCCTACCCGCGCACCTGAAGTCACACTCGCTGCCACCTGCGCCTCGGGAACAATCCGGGGCAGGCGAGACGCTGGCGCAGACTCAATGAGCTATCCACAAGAGCCTGCTTCGAAAGCGACAAGGTACATGTCTTGTCCTGACTTGACGATTCGTGGGCGCAGCTGAACTTCTGGTCATAGCAGTAAGAATAGCGCGGTTAGCAGTGGGCGCGATAGGTCTCGTTGCGACAAAATCAGACCATAACGACACGAATGAGCACGTGTGTTGGAGAGTAAAAAAACTAATCCAGGTCAGCGCTATTGCGATTGAAACGCGAACAGGACAAGGAGGACTAGGTTAGTACAGTCTGCGATAACCTGATGACCTGATTCCAGGTTGAGAGTGGACTCACTGATCAACGACCGACTGCGAACGTGCGGCCTGAGTCGATGCTGGTTGTATATATGTCCGGGACCTATATTTGCTTTGTTTAAGAGCTTGCAAAGCAACGATGTTCCCAGTCTGAGCAATGCGCTGGAGGGGCGCGCCACAATTGGCGAACATGCGTCCCCCAGCTATCAATTGTCGATGATAGACACTGGAGGCCAGCGGACAGCTAGCACATGTCTAGTCGATTCCTCTCGGACGTGGCCAGAATGCAGTCGTCTTCTCAATGCGACCTCCTAGCATCTAGCGATAGCCGTTGAAACCTGGTTGCTGTCAGGCGCGGTGTCAGCAAGC